AAAAATATATACATACATTAACTCATTTAGTTATCACAACTGCCTGTTCTGTTAGCATTTACCATGGAGAAAACCAAATCACAAGAGGTTAAAGTAACTTGGCCACATTCACCTAACTTGTGTGGGGTAGAATGAGGGTTTAAATGCAGTGTCTGGCCCTTGACCACTAAGCTTTACTGCTCTCACACTCTTTCGCTCTTTTTCTTTTTTAAAGATTTATTTTATGTATGCATACAAGAGCTGGGATACAGGCCAGAGGTGTGGGGAGGGAGTGGTGGTGAAAGGAACCACCAGAGACAGAGTGGGGAACAGAACAGGCAGACTAATTGAAATACACTGCTGAGGGGAGCAGCGGGCGAGATAGGAGAGGTCTGCTGTGCCATATGGGTAGCTCCCTGGCCGGGGATCGAACTCATGCTGCAGAGGCTGCAGATTGCTCCATAGTGTTGTGTCTTAACCCCTTGTGCCACTTGGGAGGCCCACATCCTTCAGTTCTTAACATAGAAACTTCCTGCCACCTGGGGACTACACTGAAGACCACATTAGAAAAAGAAAGTGTGAATAGGCACAGCCTTTGGGGGCCATTTGGCATTATCTGTCAAATTTTTGAATGTTCATCTCCTGTAACCTGGCAGTTCCATTTTTAGGTGCCCATGCTAGTGGAAGACTTGAAAATGTGGACGAGACAGATGCAGGATGATCTTACAAGTCTGCTTTTGAAAGGGGGAAATTGCCAAGAGTCTAAGAGCCCACTGCCACCTGATTTCTTATATAGATTCTGGTGTTGTCATACAACAGCACATCATCAGGCTGCTGTGGAGAACAAGGTCAAATTGTACCTGTGACCTGGGAAATTCTCTCTCAGGTAGAGGGTTAGGAGGACAGACTGTATAGGGTGAGGCAGGGATTTAAGCATTTAGGTTAAGAACAACATAAAACAAAACTGCAGTTTGTGGAGGCTCCAAGGCAAATGCCTGCAGGAGCTTCTGTGTTTAGCAATAGTTCATGATGGTCCCAGGAGACTCCAAAGAGGTCAGATAGTAGAGGTTACAATTAGTCATGAGGAGCAAAGAGTCACAGCATCGCTGGGAGCTTGGGAAAAATCCCCCCACCAACACACCCCTGATTTATTCTAGATATACTAGAGGGATGACCTGCAGGATAACAAGCAAAAGGAGGCCTGGGGAGGATGTGGCATGGAAGATGATAATGATAATCCCCACCCTGGCCCATTGTTCCATTCTCAAACGTTGTTTGCACCAGAAGGACAGATGTTCCCATGGTCACTTTAAGTCACCTAGTAGTCAGACACTGAGCTGTCTGTCATCAGACACCAGACGGCCCGTAAATCCAGCCCTGCGCCACTCTCCACTCCTCAGCTCAGGATTGTTGACCTGTAGGTAGCATTCCAAGTGTTTCTGAAGAACTGCACAAACAAACCAGGCAGGGCCAGGTGACCAGACTCCAGGGGCCAGAAAGGCATGTCCTCAGAGAGCAGGTGTGTCATATTCAGTGTGCCTTTCTTTTGCACGATCACCTTAAGTTGTGTGTGGACTTTTTATTTTAAATTCTGTTTACTTTTTTCTCCATTCTGTTTCACTGCAGTCACCCATCCAAAAATATTATTATTTTATAATTCTGTCCATTTTCCTGTGCCGTCCCATCTCTTCTAGTACATTCTGTCATCTGGTCTCTTTCCCTTAATTCACATAGCTTGCTTTTTTCTTTTCTTTTTTTTTTTAATTTATTTATTTATGCATGCAAGAACTGGGGTACAGGCCAGAGATGCCGGCTTGTTTTTCTCTGCCCTAAACTTGAAAGGCCCAGTTGCAGTAGCCAGAGAAGAATCAGATTACTGCGGGGATGCTGCCCTCTACAGGCTACTCCCCTGCAGGGCCCTCTCCCAGGGAAGTCTGATGAAACCAGGCAAAGGACAGCTGTGTTCCAGCCACTTTGCATGGCTTATCTCATTCAAAGCTCACAACAACCCCATGGGATTAAGGACTGCTATTGTCTTCATTTTTCCGAGGAGATATCTGAATCCCAGAGGGGCTCAGTAACTTGTCCAAGAGCACAGTGCTAACAAGTAGCGGAAACAGGATTTGAACCCAGGTGGTCTCTCTCCAGTGTCTGCCCTGCTAGCGACTTTTCTACATTGCCTCTGGAGGGGAAGATAACTCACAGTTTTTGAGCAACCAAACTATGATAGGCATCTCACATACCTGACCTCGCTGGCTGAAGATAAGTGAATTTGAAGAAAAAAAGATGACAAGGAAGAAAGGGAGGAAGCCTAATTATCTACCTATGGTCGCATGGCCAGTAATTCAGATATTTGGGCTCAAAGCATTGGCTCCCTCGCTGTTTCACTCAGAGGTCTGCCGCTCACCTCTCCCTTCAGGAGACAGCTGGTGAAGGGCACAGTTGGCTGCTCAGCCTTCAGCTGCTGCTTCTTAAGAATCCCGCAGTGTTTGCGTGGAGGCCAGGCTCTCCCCGGTTCCCACAGTCAAGGCCTGGGAATGAAGAGAGAGCCAGAATCTGGCCATTTCTGCTCAAAGCAGGACTCCTGTCAGGGCATCTTGCTGGAGCCTCCCCACTGGCCTGGCCCAGACGCCCTTGAGCTGCTCTGCACCTGAGGCTCTAGCCAGTGACCCTTCCTTCCTGCCCTCCCTTCACAGGTATCAGACCTGCACTCTGGTCGAGAGTCTCCGGCCACCCCACTCTCTCCTCCTTCACCCTTCGTAGCCGCTGTCCCTAGTAAATCCCTGGCGCGTCACATCTCTCTGCACTGACCACATTTGTAATTCCAGTTATCCACAGGCACTTTTTCCCTTCAGTGGACAGACAGAGGTTATTGCTGCATTAGAAATGCCCCAGAGGGGATAGAATTGGGTCTGGAAGTTCAAGGAAACATAGCTGAACCATGAAGAGAGAAGTCAGGCTTTGGACAAAGGTGGAAACAAAGGCAGGCCTGGGGTGGGGACCAACCAAGGTAAGAAAGCACAGAGTTTGTTTGGGAATCTGCCTGGGGGCCACATAGGGTAAGAAAGAAAGAATCAGAAAAAGGAAGTCAGGCAATGTGCTAAGAGAGGAATGTGTGGGGGAGGCAAGAGGCCTCAGCTATCTCAGGCCTCCCTCGGGCAGTTTAACAAGAACTTTATAGCACACTGGGGAACAAGCCACACAGGACAGGCACCGTTAAATGACTGGAGACCCTGGGGGAAGGAGAGTAGTGGTGTGTCTACCCAGCTCCATTTGCCTGGGGAACTGGGGAATGAGGAGCAAATCCCCTTAGACCAAAGGGAGGAAGGGCCCAGGCAAGCCAGAGGCCTCTGGCAGCTCACAGCAGACTGCTCTTTATATTTGCAACACACTTTCCAATATGCATCCACCCACCCACAGTTGCTTGACCGCCATGCAACTGCGGTGGGACCAGCAAGATGGCCGCTCCCCCAGCTGCTCTCCCTTGGCGCCCCGCCTGGCCAGCCGAGGTGTGGCCCACAGTCACTGGGCAGCTGGGGTGGAATTTAAGAGTAACATATTCCGTGACCCTGGTTCCTATAGGAGAGCCATGGGCAAGGACAGTTTAACGCTAAGCCCACAGTTGGCATTTTTCACACCTCCCTAACCCAACTCCACTTTCCTGCCAATGTCAAATCCAAATGCACAGCCGCTGGGCTTGCTCTCTGGTGAACTCCGCTCTTCCCGGGACGGCATGCTCCTTGGAGCAAGCTTTGCACTGGGGAGGTGTTCATGTGCAGGAGAAATGAAGAAATAAACCAATTAAGAAATAAAAGGAAAAAAGCAAGGGATGGTTTTGCTTATGTGTGGGCATAGGTGGAATAAAACAAAAAATCAGACGGAACCAAACCAATGACAAACCCCAGAAGTCTCACTGTAGAACTGAGGCTGGCAGGGGACATAGTGGAGAGGACCCAATGGACTGCGGGTGAGAGGGCCTGTGGGTGCCTTGGTGGTGGGTGCGGTATTGTGATAGGGCAGGGAGAGGGGCACCCCAGATCCCGCAAACCTGCCTACTCTAAATGGGTACCAGTTACTGCTTAAGGCTACTCTTTTCCTTAACACCCAGGCATACATTTGCTAATTTAAACACCACTGCTCCACAGTTGGCTTGCAAAACCCCTCAGGCAGAGGTCAGGAAGTAGTGGAAGTCAAAGCAACAAGTCATGAAGAATCATTATTGCCTTTATAAATGCTAATGAGACAGCAGAGATCACAAAAAAGAAAAATAAAGGTCCAAAGTCCTAGCAACAAGAACCTCTGAATTTTACAGGAGCCTGCCAAGTGGCCTCAGGCTCCATCTTTGATCTGGCCACGTGGTCCAAGGTACCACCTAATCTTTTGAGTAAAACTGTTGCACAGAACAATTTCCACAGAATCCAATCTCTTAGCAAGTCACTACAAACAAATCACACACAGACACACAGAATCTTCACAAAGCCCAATCCAGTTTTTGAACAGCAAATCTACATATGAAACAAACACACTAGAGAAACCAAAAATCACATTTGCACTTATGGTAGCCAATGCCATTGGGAAGTTCAATTTCCCCATGGGGCTGACTAACCATGGATGGCTCTGTCCTAAATCACGTTGGGCACCACATCTGTTACAGGGCAGGGAGAGGGGCAGCCCAGACCCCACAAACCTGCCTACTTTAAATGGGTTCTGCCATCCGCCGCAACAACACAAAACATATGAGACTTTAATGGGAAGGAATTTTAACACAATTATGAAACAATACAGGAAAGGCAAAGAATCTGGTTTCTAAATCAAGTACCCAAAGTGACCCGTCCCCTCGTGGGTAAAAGTCCATCCAAGCAGGATTGGCCCAGAGCAAGTCCCCAAAGCCTGCCCCAAGTCTAAAGCACCTTCCAGTGGAGACCCACAGAAAAGGATCAGAAACCACCAGAAAAGTCTGGAGGGAAAAGAGCAAAATCAAGACAAAAACCGCCATTGTCACCTCCCCACAGTTCTCTCACCCACATCTGTGTCACCCAGTCCAAAAGCCAAGCGCAGTTTCTTCACGTGTCTCTCTTCTCTGCTCCATGTGCCTCCTCCAGGGATCCCTCTGGTTCTCCATCCTGCTTCCTTCCTTCCTCAGTCTCCTCCACAGCCTCTTCTCTCCCTGCTCAGCTCCACCCACCCTTGGGTGGGGCAGGAAACCTGGAGCCTCCCCCTTTCCTGGGGACCACCCTGGTACAGTGTTAACAACGTTCACTAAAGGCTGTGATCCTGTGCCTCTGAATCATATCCATGCCATAAACCAATGTTACCTCAATAGGAAAAAAAGTTTTCATAAATTAAAGTTATCAGCCCAGATGATGAGAAAGAAGACACAGAAGCAACCAGAAAACCAACCTACATCAGACAGAAGGAAAGGTCCTGTTACTCAAGACTGCTTTCAAATGCAGTCTTTGGAAACATGGACCCCACTTGATATGGACACTAAAACTAATGCAAATGGTGAAAGGATTGGTATAAAATACTTGTAGAGAAATGAAAAAGCAAGTAAGTCAGAGAAATTATGACATTATTTCCATGAATATGCTACACCAAATGTGCCTGCCTCTCCCCCCTCCCTGTGCACCCCCTTCACCTCTGCCACCCCTCCAGCAAGACCAGCCCCCCTCTTCCTCCTCCACCTAAGGGAAGACAGTGAGGATGAAGCCCTTTGTGATGTTCCTCTTCCACTTAATGAGCAGTAACCACAAATTATGTGCTAATCAACCATCTAAGTTGTCCCAGCCGCTTCCTGTCAACAGCAGGTGATCAGTAGTTAGGTTTGGAAGGAATCAAAAGCTAAAGAGGATTTTCAATGGAGAGGTGGTCAGCCTCCCTAGCCCCCAAAATTGTTCAAGGGCCACTGTGCACGCCAGTTTCTAGGACTGCAGCAAGGCAAGTGAAGGTGGCACTGAGGGTAAGGGCTTGGTGATTTTCAGCGATGCCCTCAAGAATAGCCCGGGTCACAGGCACCTGTGTCTTGCACTGCGGCTCGCTGGCCAGGCACGCAGCTGCTGCCTTGTCTCTAGGCAGCCCAGCTGGTGTTCTGAAACCCTCCAGATGAATTCATGATGAATGAAAGATCCACTTTTCTCCATTATGAGGAGTTGGGCCAGTGGGATTATAAAATGATGGCGCCTCTATGGAAAACAGCAGGTCGGTTCCTCGGGAAAGTAAACCACAATCCCACTCTAGGTCTACACTCGAAAGAATGGAAACTGGAGACTCAAACACAGTATCTGTATACATTGTTCACGTTATTTATTCTTTGTACACATGATTCACATTAGCCAAAAAGTGGAAACAACTCAGTGTCCAGGAATGGACTGATGAACAGAACGTGGTGTGGACAGACGCACAATAGAATATCAGTAAGCCTGAAGAAGGAAGGAAATTCTTTTTTTTAAATTTAATTTAATTTTATATATATTTTACATTGCTCTTCCTTTTTGTACAATTCATGCTTTCTCCTCTCAGGTGTAGTCACTGCAAAATTCCCATCACCAATTCACCTGCACACCATCATCATAGTCTCTTGTGGAAGATCACATTCTCTCCCCTGTTTTGATTCCTCTCCTGCCCCCACCCCTGCAGAGTGTCTCTGATTAATTTGTTTTTTAATTTATTTAAAGAAGGAAGGAAATTTTGACGAGTGCTTTGACATGGAGGAACTTGAAGACCTTATGTTTAGTCAAGTAAGCCAGTCACAAAAGGACAACTACTGTAGTTTCTGCAAACATTTTATATGAGAAACTTCGAGGAGTCAGATTCATAAAGCTAGAGAGTAGACTTATGGTTGTCAGGGGCTGGAGGTCAGGGGGGTGAATGGGCAGTTTTTACTTAATAGGTGGGGACAGAGTTTCAGTTGGGGAAGGTGGAACGTTCTGGTGACTCGTGGTGATGGTTGCAGAGCTACGTGAATTTAGTTAGTCCCAGGAAATATACACTGAAAAATGCTACATTGGATGTTATGTATATTTTACTACCATTTAAAAAATAGTTCTGCATTTTATTGGTTTTTATGTGTGTATCAGCAGGACAGTAAAGAGGGCATTTGAAAACATTTGCTTTTAAAAACAAAACCTTCCATGGAGAACAAGGTGTCTAGAGTTTTATGCCCTCGGTGTTTTACAGCATATTTTATTTTGTCTGGAGACTTTCTGGCACCCCTTGAAATATGTGGAGACACCTAGGCATCACTAATGAAGGACTGGGGATTGTGGGGGCACAGAATGGGAGATCCCAGGGGACTAAGAAAATATATATTCGAGCTTATGGGAATCAGGGCTGAGGGAAGAGCCACTGAGAGTCCATTTAAGTGGATCTGAGCAGGCACGTCTGGGACTGCAAACATTTTATATTTATGGAGCTTCTCACACTTTATGATGCAAAAGCACTCTACACGTACAGTCCATTAACAGAACACAAGTAGGCAGAGCAGAAGGGGGACCAAACTTGGAGTCAGATCTGACTAGGCCACTAAAGAACTGTCTGGAAGATACAGGGTAAATGTCTTAATTTCTTGGAGTCCCATTCACTCTGTAATATGTGAATAATATTTATTATGAATGCCTGCTATTGACCAGATACCTATGCTGGACGAGGCCCTTGGCAGGCATTTCATCATTTGATCAATACTCATTTAATCTCCACAACTGCCCAGTGAGAGAGGTGTCATCCTTATCAAACAAATTAGGAAGCCAAAGCAGATGATCTCCAGCTATTTTCTCGTGGCTCACTCAGAGGGCATCAATGTGGATTCCTGCGTCTATGGCTACTTGAGTCTCTTCTGCCCACAGAGAGGCCACCAGGGAGATAAAATTCCAGGAGGAACCCTCAGCCAGTCAAGGAGGGAGCACTGGTGTCCTGCACCATCTCCCTAAGGCTCATACAGGACTGAGGCCCTGTTGGTTTCCTGCTTACCCTGCCTCACTGTCTCTTCCCTCCCCAGGCCATGCTTCCCAGAATCAACTCCCAAATAAACCATGTACACACAAATACTTGTCTCTGGATCTGCTTTGGGAAACCCAAAGAAAGACTGCACTGAGGCTGGGGAGGCTGTTTCTTGCTCACGATCCCACAGTTGAAAGCTTGGCCAAACCACAACTGAACACCCTCTCCTGAATCCAAAGCCTGATACCTTACTTGGTTGTTGAGTAATTCAGGGAGATGATGTAGCCGAAGAAGAGGTCCTCAGTGCAAGCAGATGAGGACAGCGCTTCCACCTGATCTTTGCAGTGACACCGTGAGGTGGATACGCAGCTTAGTTTTATGTCCACTTTATAGGAAACCAGGGTCCAGAACCTCACACTAAATGACTGGCTAATCATTTTGATAAGAAATAACAAGATGATTCTCTGTTTCTTTAGTCATTCTCCATTTTTCTCTGCCTTTCTCTGTGCCCAGGAGGCCAACACTACTGGACCCCAGTTGGGGTCAGCCAATAGAAGGTCTGTGCAGGAAGAGAGAAAAGAGAATATTTCAGCTCCCTTCTTTTCCTCTGTTCCTCCTCTCTCCCTCTCTCTCTCTCTCTCTCTCTCTCTCTCTCTCTCTCTCTCTCTCTCTCTCTCTCCATTTTATCAGTGGCTACTTTCTTCCACCTGAACCACACAACTTCTTCCAACCACTTCAACTTTTTAAAAACACTGGGATTTGTCTAGGCTTTATTACAAATGTAGAATCCTAAGAAAGAGAAGAGGAAATGATCTAAGTTTGCTAAGATCTCAGAACACATTCCGAGTCCACTCTGCCCTAACCCCGGTATCACAGCTCCATTTCTCACCAGGTAGGGATAGTGTATACCCTCACCTGCCCTTCAGCGGTGATAAGGCTCCTGGTGCTTGCTAGTCTCAGGTATTTCTCATTCCCTGCTCACACCTCTACAAATAATCTAGGAATAATCTTTATTCCACTCTCACCAGTTAAAACCTTTGAGGTGCCAAGCTCTTCCTTGCTGGGACGCTGACTGACCCAAAGGCCTTAGGGGAGAAAATAAAATATTTATGGAGCAAACACCCTTTCTCCAGGCCTTGAACAAAGCCCCTTCTATTGCCATCCCCACAGCAAGACTGTGCGGTAGGTACTATTATGATCCCCATTTCACAGATAAACAGATTGAGGCTCAGTAATGGAACATAGACCACATTCCAGCTCAGTTAGCACTGACAGTCCATGCTCCTCTCCTTGGCCACAAAGACCACACTGTACTCTGGCCTGATCTGCCTTTATCATAAATCACTGTCCGGGCCAAAACTTCCCAGCCTTGCCCTGGACATGTCCGGAAACCCGAGAACACCCTGCCTGTGGCTAGGGTGTAGCATCTCTGTGGCAAATGAGCATTCCATGAATGGAAACAGCCTTTCCCTTCTGTGAGGAGAGGCAGGATTTCATGTGAATGTGTGATGACTGGCAGGGAGCCAAGAATAAGAGCAGGAAATGGGAGTCCATGCGAGATAACCGCCATGAACGTTGAGGGGAGGGGGCAGGATAAACAGAGGGGGCTCTATTTTGCAAAGCATTCAAGAGCTCGGTGGATTAAGGACAGCCCTTGGGGAAAGCCAGGGATATTAGGGAAAAGGAGAGACAGCCTTGGCAGGCAGCAAAGACTAAGTGCTGGTGGAGCAATTAAAGGGAGGGGCAAACGAGTAGGAAACCACAGAATAATGCAAAACCCAAAAGCGGGCATCTGAAATGTGCACCCAACAAAATTAAAAGGCAGAGTTTGTGCTTCGTAGCTGAAAATGTTCAAAACAACATTTTGGAATGAGAAACATATGGAATAAGAGGCAGCTGTCATCTGATTTAACAGCTTGAGAAATGTGACTTCTCCCTTTGGGGGCTGAGAGGGGCGGAGAGTGAGAAAGAGTTTAGAACCTCAATGAAGATGTAAGCTGAATGGGACAGAGAGATTTCCCCCATTTTTGATAACTGAGCAAAATCAAAAATACTAGACTTCACAAGGTCATTAGAATATGCAAATATTATTCTCCCCACTCTACACCCATCTACCACTTACCCATTATCAAGTAATAGTAATGTGCAGGTATTTAGCATCTATATTTGAGGACTTTACATATATTATCCCCAATTCTCCCAATAACCCTGCGA